GGAGTAGCTATGGAGGGCCCTTGATGGTCTGTGTCAGGGAGGAGGAGTTCTGGAGGGCTCTGGAAGAGTCTGGGCCGGGGAGAAGGAGCTCTGGAGGGCCTTGGAGGGGTGTGAGCCAGGGAGGAGGGACTCTGGAGGTCCCTGGAAGGGTCTGAGCCATGGAGGAGGAGCTCTGGAGGGTTCTGGAGAGGTCTGGTCCAGGGAGGAGGAGTTTTGGAGGTCCCTGTATTGGTGTGAGCCAGAGTGGAGGAGCTCTGGAGGGCCCTGGAGGGGTCTGGGTGAGGGAGGAGGAGCTCTGGAGGGCCCAGGAGTGGTCTGGACCAAGGAGGGGGAGCTCTGGAGGGCTCTGGAATGGGTGTGGGTCAGAGTGGAGGAGCTGCAGGGGCACTTGGAGGAGGACAGGCTTTCAAGGGGGACTGGCAACTCAGTGCCTATGAGTCACTGTGGACAGTGACAGGCGTCTGGGCTTCCATAGTCAATGGACTTTATGGTAGGAATCTGCTCCCAGAGTCGGAGAAGCCTCTGGAGTGTGGCCCTTGGAAGGGTGTGGGAGGTAGCAGGGTATCCCCAGGAGTCCTTCTTATCCAGCAGAGACTCTCCAGCTGCCAAAGCTGCGCTGCCCTGTGCGTGCCCTGCCTGCATCACCTTCAGTTCCTCTCTTTCTCCAAGTCCTTTCTGTCAGTGAATCTGTGGGTGTCACTATCTCCACCTACCTCTCCCACCCTGCTCCCCAAGCCTCCGACCTCATTCTGGGTGTCATTCATGGGCCCCAATGCTCAGTCTTCCCAACAGCCAACTGTGCTGATGGGCTACCTCATCCATACCCACTGGCCGTCCCCAGTTCTCATGCCCTTGGGGGTTCCTCTCTTTCCGTTGCCCTGATGCACTCTATCTACCCACCTAGGAGGTGTCCTTGCACAGTGATATCTCAGTATGTTCCTGCTCTATTGGAAGTGCTTTCATAGCTCCCACCTCCTCAGGAGGATGTGAAATTAGCCCTGGGGTCAGGAGGAATGCCAGACAGCCATGTGTCCTAGGTCTTACACTTAAGGAGGAGTTCTGCTGCCTGTAGGACCCCACTCCTGCTGGGACTCACTCACAGATGCCTCCCTGTCTCCAGAACACCATGTCCCTCCTGGAGCAGGTCTTGTGCCCCCACACCCTCTGTTCTGTGCCCCCACATCCTGTGCCTGGCAGACCTCACTGTAGGCAGGTCCTGTGCCCTATGCCCTGTGTTCTGTGCCCCCACATCCTGTGCCTGGTAGACCTCACTGTGGGCAGGTCCTGTGCCCTATGCCATTGGCCCTGTGCCCTGTGCCTCCATACCCTGTGCCTGGTAGACCTCACTGTGGGCAGGTCCTATGCCCTGCAACCCCTGTCCTGTGCCTCCACGTTCTGTCCCTGGTAGACCTCGCTCTGGGCAGGTCATGCGCCCCCATGCCCTGTGCCTGGCAGACCTCACTGTAGGGAGATTATGTGAGCTCATGTTCTGTGCCTGGCAGACCTCACTGTGGGAAGGTCCTGTGCCCCATGCCATGTGCCTGGCAGATCTCACTGTGGGCAGGTCCTGTGCCCCCATGACCTGTGTCTTGGTTCCCACATCCTGCGTCCTGTGCCCCAAGCCTATGCCTGGCATATCTCACGGTGGGCAGGTTCGGTGACCCCATGCGCTGTGTCCTGTGCCCCATTCTCTGTGCATGGAACACCAGGAAGTGGGCAGGTCCTGGGCCCCCGCGCCCTGGGCCTGGTAGATCTTGCTGTGGGCAGGTCCTGTAGCCCTCACACCTTGTGCCTAGCAGACTTCACTGTGGGCAGGACCTGTGCCCCCACACTGTGTGTCGTGTACTCCCATGCTCTGTGCCTGGAGACCTCACTGTGGGCAGATCCTGTGCCATCACACACTCTTCCTGGCAGACCTCATTGTGGGCAGGTCCTGTGCCCCCACAGTGCGTGTCCTATACTCCCATGTCCTGTGCCTGGAGACTCACTGTGGGCATGTCCTGTGCCCCCACAGTGCGTGTCCTATACTCCCATGTCCTGTGTCTGGAGACCTCACTGTGGGCAGGTCCTGTGCCCCCACACTGTGTGTCCTATACTCCCATGTCCTGTGTCTGGAGACCTCACTGTGGGCAGGTCCTGTGCCCCCACACTGTGTGTCCTATACTCCCATGTCCTGTGTCTGGAGACCTCACTGTGGGCATGTCCTGTGCCCCCACACTGTGTGTCCTATACTCCCATGCCCTGTGCCTGGAGACCTCACTGTGGGCATGTCCTGTGCCCCCACACTGTGTGTCCTATACTCCCATGTCCTGTGTCTGGAGACCTCACTGTGGGCATGTCCTGTGCCCCCACACTGTGTGTCCTATACTCCCATGTCCTGTGCCTGGAGACCTCACTGTGGGCAGGTCCTGTGCTCCCTCACTGTGTGTCCTATACTCCCATGTCCTGTGTCTGGAGACCTCACTGTGGGCAGGTCCTGTGCTCCCTCACTATGTGTCCTATGCAGCCATGACCTGTTCCTGGCAGACTTCACTCTTGGCAGATCCTGTGCTATCACACCCTCTTCCTGGCAGACCCTTTGCGGGAAGGTCTTTTGCCCCCATGCCCTCTCTTGGCTCCCATATCGTGTGTCCTGTGCCCCATGCCCTGTGCCTGGCAGATATCACTGTGGGCAGGTCCTGTGCCCTCATGCCCTGTTCCTGGCATGCCTCACTGTGGGCAGGTCCTGTGCCCGCTTGCCCTGTGTCCTTGCTCCCAAACCCTGTGCCCCATGTCCTGTGTCCCGTGCCCTGTGCTTGGCAGACTTCACTGTGGTCCTGTGCCGGAGACCTCACTGTGGGTAGGTCCCGTGCCCCCACACTGTGTGTCCTATGCTCCCATGCCCTGTGCCTGGAGACCTCACTGTGGGCATGTCCTGTGCCCCCCCCCCCCCCGACTGTGTGTCCTATGCTCCCATGCCCTGTGCCTGGAGACCTCACTGTGGGCAGGTCCTGTGCCCCCAAAGTGTGTGTCCTATGCTCCCATGCCCTGTGCTTGGAGACCTCAATGTGTGCAGGACCTGTGTCCCTAGGCCCCATCCCTGGCAGACCTCAATGCAGGCACAGGACTTCAGCTTCCAGTGATCATGCCAGGCTGTGGCCACCTGGTTAGCTGGTCTGTATAGTGTAGCAACTAGGGCTGGCACTTGACATGTAATTTACTAATGAAAAGGTGCATGAGTGGAACTTTTTTTTTTTTGTTTTGGTGATTGGATTGAAATCAGTGCACTCTACCACTGAGCCACATCCTCAGCCCTTTTTATTTTTTATTTTGAGACAGGGTTTTCTATGTTCCCTGGGGCTGATCTTGAAATCCTCCTGCTTCAGCCATCTGAGTCACAGGATGACAGACATGTGCCACCCTGCCAGCTCCATTCTACTTTTTTAACAGATAGATTTACAGAAGTTTGATTTGGAAGTCCATCCATTTGGAAGAGAGAAGTGCTCATGATTTCTGAGTTAAGGCACCTCTCTTGGAACATTTGCTCCATTGTCAGGCTGCAGGGCCAGGCCCCCTCTGCTGGGCACATGGGGCACTGCTCTGGGTCTCTCCTGATGCAGATGCAGAGGGGGCCCCTCAGGTCCAGCAGTGCCCGGAAGGAAGCCCTCAGGTGGTCTTGCCCAGAGTCCTGGCTGGAGTGCTTGGTTTGTTTGCCTTTGTTCCTCTCTGCTCACATCTCCCCTGTTGACAAAAAGTACCCAGAGAGCCCCTGAAGCCGCACACCGCCCCTGGAACAGCTGGGACGCCCTGGTGCATGTCCCTGCACCCCAGGCACATGTCTTGTGAGCCTTCTGCTTCGGTTGGGTCCATGGTTTGCATGCTTAGGTCGGCTGTTGGTCAGCAAGGGGCCCATTCCACATAACCAAGCACAGACTTGAGTGTCCAAGGAGGGCCCCTCCCTCTGCTGTGTGTGCTGTGAGGGTCCTGAGCACAGCACAGGACTGCTCAGTGTCCTTTGTAAGGTGGATGCTCTGAAGTTTTGCCAGCACAGCTGGAATTGTCTTCTGAATCCAACATAGGCCTGGTGGCTTCTGACCACATGCAGTGTCTCTGGCTCTGGCTGGGGTGAGGGTGGCCCTGGTCCTTGTGGAACCTGATTGCATGATGACATGGCTCTCACACAGCCCTCAAGCACTGGGAGGGGATCTGGAGTGTGGGCCTGATGTTGCTGCCAGAGCCTTCCTCTCGAGCCCTGAGGAGGAGCAGATGGAGGCTCCTCCAGGAGACGGAGGGTCTGGGTTCCCCAGTCAGCCCTTTGAGCTGGGCCCAAGGTTGGCATGGGCACTGATGGTGGGTCTTGGCTGGGCTCAGGGCCCTCCGCAGATACCCACCCTTGAGTGGCTTTGAAGCATCTTTGATAGGGGACTGCTTAGGCCTCCAGGGGCTCCTCCTCTGTGCTGGTGGACAGCATGGGACGGGGGTAGGACAGGGACTGGAGAGTTGGGCTCTGGGTATAGACCTTGGGGAGGACCTCCCAGCTCTGGCCAGTGTCCAGAGGGCTGGGTTCCAGGTACCATTTTCTGTCCCAGACTCCTTTCTTCCTCTGGCTCCTAACAGCTGGATGTGGGCCATGGACAGGTCAGTCCCAGGTGGGTACTGGGTGGCTGAGCAGCTGCCATTGCTTGGTCATCCCTGTCCCACCTCCTCTGCCCTGCCCTGCTCTGAGCAGTGTGTTGCCTTCCTCAGATGTCCTCTCAAAGACCATCATGAGGCCCCAGAGGCCTGGTTGGAGGGCTGGAGGGGACCACACAGCACAGGCCCCAGGGTCTGGGTCAGTGGGGTGGGGACGGGCCTGGCACTGTCTGCTGCACTCCCTGTGCAGGGTGTGCAGCCAGAAGATCTGTGCACTGAGGTTCCCACCTGCAACTTGGGGTTCCCTCCCCCCTTGGTGGGAAGGGGCTGTGATGTGTGTTGAACACTGCCCTTGTGGGGCCCCTGGAGGGTCAGTGAGGGCTCCTGGGGTGCCTTCTGGGCATGGTGGAGGTAAAACACATGGGGGCAGCCAGGACACAGGCCAGGGCATGAGGAGGTGCCCATACCCCTGCAGCCCCCACTGGCCCTGCTGTCTGCAGGGGCTGGGATCAAATGAAGGTGACGTGGGCCTGCCTAGGAGGGGTTCCCCAGGGCCTGGGTTGCCCTCTGCACCACCCTGCGCAGTGCCCACTTGACCTCCTGGTTCCGCAGGCAGTAGATGACTGGGTTGAGCAAAGGTGTGAGCACAGTGTACACCACGGACACCAGTTTGTTGTAGTCGAAGGAGTAGATGGCACGTGGCCTGGCGTAGATAAAGAGGGAGGCTGAGTAGAAGATGACCACTACGGCCAGGTGTGAGCTGCAGGTGGAGAAGGCCTTCTGCCGGCCGCCGGAGGACGGGGTGCGCAGCACTGCACCCAGGATGGCCGAGTAGGAGAAGATGGTGAGCAGTAGTGGCCCCAGCAGGATGAGCAGAGCCAAGAGGAAGTCCACCAGCTCTGCCGCTGACATGTCAGAGCAGGCAAGGTTTAGCAGCGGGGACACATCACAGAAGAAGTGGTTCATGACGTTGGGGCCGCAGAAGCCCAGCCGGGAGATGAAGAAGACCTTCCCCAGGGAGATGGTGAAGCCCGAGAGCCAGGAGCCTGCGGCCAGGAGGCTGCAGAGGCTAGGGCTCATGACGGCTGGGTAGCGCAGGGGGTTGCAGATGGCCACGTACCGGTCGTAGGCCATGACGCCCAGGAGTGTGCACTCGGTGCAGGCCAGTGCCAGGAAGAAGTACAGCTGCGCCATGCAGCCCGTGAAGGAGATGCGCCGGAACTCCGGTGCAGCCAGGCTGAACAGCATCTTGGGCACGGTGACAGAGATGTACCACACCTCCAGGAAGGACAGGTTGCTGAGAAAGAGGTACATGGGCTTGTGCAGCATGGGGCTGGTGCTGATCACGGCGATGATGACCAGGTTCTCCATGACAGTCAGCACGTAGGCCAGCAGGAACAGCAGCAGGAGGCACAGACGGAGCCCCACAGGGCCCGTGAAGCCCACCAGGATGAACTCCACCACCTCTGAGTGGTTGCCCCTTGCAGACATGGTGCCTACTGCCTCACCTGGGGGAGCAGAGATGGAGGGTAAGGGGCTAGGAGTGGTAAGAGGTTGAGCTCCCCTTGGGTGGGAGAAAGACTCATCCTTGGTGTGCTCCAAGACTGCCCAAGCTCACCCTGGGCTCCGGGCCTGTTTCCTGCTGGACCGTGGAGGCCAACAGCCACCTAGCACAGACAGCAGACAAGCGTCCAGGTACTGAGAGAATGCCTGGCTGCAAGAACTTGCAAAAACAGTTGGACAACTGCACAGACCCGCCCTCCCCACCCCTGCCCCAGTTTCACCCCACCCCAGTCTGGCCCTGTTCCCCCTCCACATACCGCTCACACCCACTGCCCGTGGGGTGGGGAGATACCTTGGCTGGGGTCATCCCAGGCCCAGGGGCTGGTGGGCAGGGGTGTCAGAATCAGGAAGGAGGACCTTGGGCTGTCTCAACACTATCAGGCAGACCCCAGGAAAGGTGGCAAGGAAGGAGGCCTGGGGACGGCAGAGGAGTCTTGGGTTCAGTGGGCAGGTGAGTGGCACTGGGCGAGATGGTAAGGGCTAGGGCCTACCCAGAGTCCTCGTCTGCATGAAGCAAGGTGGGGCTCTGCAGAAGCTCCCCAGGGATTAAGAGGGTCCAACCCCACCCCCAGTGCTGCTGGCACCATAGGCTCCGCAGAGGGAGGTTGACCTTAAAGGAGTGGAGCCCAGAGCAGAGGTTGCCCCTTGCCCCCATTGTGGAGGGAGTCTTCTCCCCAGCCAGGTCTTCCCAGACATGGCTGAGCTGCCCAGCTCAAAGTCAATCTGCCCTGTGGAGCGGGCTTGGGTTTTGCTGCTTACCTGGCGTCCTCAAGCCTAACCTCAAAGCAAAGCTCAGCAGTTTGCTGCACAAGCTGGTGTTTCCTGAACACACCTGCGCAGGCACAGTTGGGGAAGCTCCAGACTTCTCCACCCTGTACTATCTGTCCTGCCCTCAGCTGAGGTGGCTGGTGACCAACACAGAAGGCAGTGTCCACCGGCTCCACAGCTGTCCAGGAGTCCCAGGCTTCTCCTGTCCTAGGCTGTAGGGGCCTCGGATGCTGGTCAGTGAGCAGAGGAATCAATGGGTGCCTGCTCTGTGCTCCCTGGCCCCAGCAGCAACTTAGATCAAGATCCCTGTAGGGCAGCCCTCCCGTTTGGTGCCCATCCCGTCCCTGCTGTTGGCTGCCCAGATGCCCCCTCTCCCTCTCCAGGCCCTGTGTGTCTCCCACCCCCAACCCCAGCATGCTGCTTGGGGCCTGGGAAGACCTACAGGAAAGGTCTAGAGAGGCAGCAGGGCTCTGGTCATGGGCTCTGGGACAGCAGCTGGGCTAAAATTTCTCCCTGTCCTTAGCCTGTGATCTTGGATAGAACAGTCTATGGCCATGATGAGAGTCATGGCAGGGCTCCACTTGGCTACAGGGACAGGCCACAGCAGGCTGCCCCAGCTGCTCACAGGGTCAGAGGGCAGGCTGTAAGGACAGGGCAGCCTACAGGTGGCATTTCTTCTGCCCCATGGAGTGGGAGCAGTCTGGAAGCTCTGCAGGTGCCAGGCCCTGGGCGGACACCGCAGGATGTGCCCACTCTGAGCACCTGGGGACCGTTAGGAATGCACTGCAGCAAGAGGTCTGGCTAGGCCTGAGTAAGGTCAGCCCTGGTGTGCCGAGGCCCCCCTTTGTGCAGCCAGATCCTATGCTGCTCTCTCTGAGTGGCCTGTCTAGGAGCTGGGCTGGGAAAACGAGGCCTGGGCATTGACATGGCTCTTGTGGCTCATGACAACCCGCTTCCACTCAGATCTGCCACCTGTCAACTGCCTCCCCCAGTCGTCTCTGAAGGATGGATCTGACAGAACTGTGGTTAGGGAAGCAGCAGCAAGTTGGCTCTCCTCATGCAAACTTGTGGACACAAACCAGAAGGTCCTGGCACTGCTGCCGAGGGACCACGGACTGCCGGTGACCCCAGAGCGGCTGGGTCTGGTCCAGGGGAGTGTCACATCCTAAACTTGGAGACCCTGGAGACAAGCTCCAAGATACTCACATGCAGTACACACACTGCACAAACCCCCAATATGCTCACCCAACATATGCACCCCAAACTCAACACAGGTGTCAAATAACCCCATTCCCCACACTCGGATTCACTCACAGTGTAGCCAGGTGCCCACATAAGCATCATGCCCACATCCAGGCCACACACACATGCCCTTGGCACAAGCCTCATGCAGGCAGCAGGCTCCTGCTGGGTAGACAAACAAGCTCTCCAAACAGAACCAGCCTGGGCACATGCGGGTGTCCCTAGACCCTGGTGCACAGGAGATACACACTGAGTTCAGCCTCTGGAGCCCCCGCTCTTCCACAGAAGCAGGTAGGAAGGTGCAGCCCTGGAACAGGGATAACCATGAAGCCACAGACGCATCGACCTCTATGCTGACACCCGCCCAAGAGAAACATGCTTGCCAGCAAACCCCTACAGGCTCCCTGCCAGCAAAGCCACAGCACAGGCACACATGGGCGTGCTCAGGAGCATTGAGGTACATAGGAATGAGCAGGCTCACACAGGTATAGACACCTGTACAGGTGTGCAAACAGGTGAGCACACAGATGTACACTCAGACATACTTGGGCACATATGCAGGCATACACAGGTGCATACAAAAGCATATGGGCACACGCAGGTTCATGCAGGTGCACACAGTGCATGCAAATGCACACAGGTACATGCAGGTGCATACACAGATACACACATAGACACATGCAAGTGTGTACAGGTGCACATAGGTGCATACACAGATGTGCCCACAGGCACTTGAAGGTGCATAAACAGGTGCAAACACAAGTGTACATACAGTCTCATGCAAGCACACACAGGTGTGCACACAAGCACACTCATGACACAAGCACTAGAACCCCTCATGTCTCACCTGTGCAGAGGCTGGTGAGGTTTTAGACGCGGATCTGGGTTTGAGCCCACCTGTGCCCCACTAGCTCTGCTCTGCCTGCCAGCTCACTTCTATACTGTGAAGGGACTGGGGCTTAACTGTCCTTCCCATGCTGCTTGATGGTTAGGGACCCAGCAGACTTGCTTCCTCACCTTGACCTTGAGGACCTAGGGACTCAGTGTGAGAAGTGGTAGTGGTGGTTCTGAGGGAGTGAGGACCAGGGCCAGGCAAGGCTGACCAGGGGCCAACCACAGAGGACCTCTCACTCTCACTGAAGCCATCTGGATCTCCCCAGTCTACAGGAATCCCCAGAAAATGAGGAAAGTGGTGTTTGCTCTTGGATGTAGCACAGTCTACCTGTGACCATCAGAGTCTGTTCCAAAAAGATCAGAGTTTGGGGAGTGCAGACCTAGAGGTGACTCCCCTCACAATAAAAGAGACTTGTCTGTGTCAGATGAGAATGGACGGCGGAGACTGAAGCAGGTGCCTCTTCCTGTGTTCTGCTGCTCCACACGTTGGGACTGGTACAAGAGTTCCTGTGCTGGGCAGGCCTGCAAACACTGTCCTCAGCCTGGAGAGGGCAGCCAGGCTGCCCCCCTCAGCCAGAGTGTGCATCCAAAAATAAGCTGGCTGTGTACATGAAAGCCCTCCTCTGCCCTGGCACAATCCCTTCCTCCAAGAACTCACAGGAGAGAGAAGCTGACTAGGCGGGGCTGGAGCTTGTGAAGGGAGTGGAGGCCACTCCTTACGCAATCCCCAGGTGACACATGGAAGGTCCTTCTTCCCTCTTCCCCTTCCCCTGTGACCATGTCTATTAGATTGGCTAGATCAGGGCAGATGGACACCTGCTCCCAATACTACTGTCCTTGCAGGACACAGCAGGTGTGGGGGACATGCTGTGGGCCCCATCAGTCCTCTCATCCCCAGCAGGGGCCTGAGGAACAAACCCTTGGGTCCCTGGGCCCCCTGCCTACCCAGGCCCAGAGCTGTGGGTGCAGGCCCAGACTTATGCCTGCTTGCTCAGAGCAGTCCCACCTCATCCTCACCCTCCTATCCCTCCTTTCACTTTGAGGGACACGGGATGGGTTGAACTGTGAAGCAGGTGCAGGTGCCAGGACTCTCTGTCCTAGGCACTGAGACTGCAGGAGGACCACAGCCCCTGGCTCTGTCCTTTTTTGCTGACTGTCTGCTGGAAGCCCAGGGCATCCAGGGTTAGCAGATGCCCCCTCTGAGTGCTCCCACTGGGTGGGCCTGGACTGATGCTCTGGGCTGGGGTGGTCCTTGGGTCGGGGAGAAAGGGTAGTTGGAGGTGAGGGAAAGGTGCAAGGGCCTAATGGGGATTCAGCTCCAAGTTGTGGCTGGTGGCCAGGACTGCTGACCAGTCCCTTGGAAGTGGGCAAGGAACTTGCAGTGCACAGAGCTGAACTGGGTGCTGCCTTGCTGCAGCCCAGACCTTGGGGCTACCTGGGGCCAGCACAGTGGTTTTATGATGTCCTGCTCCAGAATCACCTGACAAGTGCCAGCCACTCATCACTCCTCGGCCATGTCTGGGGGCTCCTCCTTTGTTGGGGTGGATACTGAACCCTGCCATGACCCCAGCTCTGCAGGGGCTCAGGTGTGGGAGGAGACACAGTGGGCTCATGAAGGGCAGCTCTGTGGCACGTGAGGGGCAGACCCCATGCAGAGGTGCAGAGGGGCCTGCAAGCACCACACCCACCGCTCTCCCACTTAGCTTCGGCCCCTTCTCAGAAGCAAGCCGCAGGGCAGGGTTGGACTTCCTGCTACACACCTCCTGGGCCTCCTCCAGCTGTGCTTTGCTCTGGGCTGTCCCCAACACCCAAGGAGGCTTCCTCTGGCCTCCACCCTCTTTCTCTCCTGGCTTCTGAAGTCAGTGAGGAAATGAATCTAGTCTCCTCTCCCATGAACTAAAGGCTGGGAGGCCCTGGTCTGTGCTGCCTTCTCCCTGTCTCCCTCTGCCCTGTGTCCTGTCCACATTCACAGGCCCACTCAACGCCACCACAGGGACCCCTCTTCCCCCAGGAAGCAGGAACTGGCCTGCCTTCTGCTGCTGCCCATGTCCCCTT